GGACTGACAGCCCGCGCCAGCCACTTGAGGCGCCCCGCGCCACCGCGTAGACCGACGCCTGCCCAATCAGTGCTCGACCCGAGAGCAGCACTGGGAGGAGGGACTATACTAATCACTTCGCTGGAGTGACACCTTCTACGCCCCTCGAAGGTCCCGCCCATATGGAGGAGTGACGACTCTAATAGCCAATCATAGCATGGAGAGGCGGGGTTATGCAGATATTGACCCGAAGAGGGCGGGCAAGAGGTAGGAAGGGGCGAGGCTTGGAGAGCTGAGTTTACAAACAGCGAGTCAGGTGGCTGGCGCGGGCTCTGTGCCCAAGGCTCGCAACTCCCTAGGGCGGGCGGTGCCTCCGTCAACTCAAGCATCTTCAGGCCTCCCCATCGCCCAAACTCCTTGGCATGCCCTTCACTGCTCAGCAAAACCCGGCGCCTGTTTACCCTTGGCTGCATTCCTGACCGTTCCCTCTCCTGTTTAAAATCTTTGGAAGTTCCTGACCTCCAGTGGCTCCATGGTTAAGCCTAGGAGCTCTGGAGTGAGACCCCAGCTTGCATCCTTACTAGCTGTGTGGCCTTGAGCTTATGAGCACCGCAATTTTCCTTTGCAGTGTCTCCCACCCTCCTCCATTTGAGTCTTGGGTCTGATTTGGGGTGGGTGGAGTAACATGAACCAGGCTGGCTCAGGGTTGAGCAGGTGACCCTGTACTGGCCAAGGAGGGTCAGTCCTGGGGTTTTTGCTGGAGATCAGAGAGCTCAGGCCAGAGGGATGGCTGAGGTCAAATGACTCTCCTATCTGCTCACAGACCTTCCCAGAATTGAGGTAGGTGACAGAAAGATGTAAGAATGGGGCTACTGAAGCATTCTGTCACCATGAATGGAGGGAGCAGCTGAGAATGAAGCCAACCCAGAGGAAACAAGAGCAAATACCCTGAGTCACCTGGGACCAGCCGCACCTTAAGCATGCTCTATTCTAGACTTTTCAGGTATCTGGCCAGCTACCTTTTCCTTTCTGCTGAAGTCAGTGAATAGACCCCCAGAGCACTGCTGGTCCCCACAATCACAGAGCGCATCCTGAAGACCCTGCTCACCTGCTACCTCTCCTACAAAGCCAGCCCCAGTTGGGCCTCTGCACTCCCTCCTCAGAATGTGTTTCTCTACTTCCAGCAGTGAGGAATGACACACAGGTTGCCCCCAGCAGGACAAGGGTGCCTGGGGGTCAAGAGCAGGCCTTAGTGGCAGACGCTGGTGCTCCCTGTAAACATCAGGGCCAAGGGGAGTGGCCAGGGCCTCTGTAGCAAGGGCGGAGCTCAGGCAGCATTTCTGGGACCAGAAAGCCAGCCGTCCCCATCCCCAGGCTGGGCCAGCTCACTGGTGGGCCCACTGTCAGCCACTGCTGGAGAAGAATCCCTCCCAGCCTCTGCTGCTGAGAGAAACCAGAGGGAGGCGGGGCTGGGCCTCAGAAACAAAGGTGTTTCCATGGTTACCCTTGAAGAAACCGACTGCAGCAGGAGAGGGAAGGGTATGGAGGGCATGCCGGCCCCCAAGCCCGGACAAGGACAAGGCCAGTTGCCAGGGAGATGCTTGCAGCTTCCCTTGCAGGCCTGGCCCTGACCCATCAGAGTCCTGGAAAACCACCACCCGACCCTCCACGACCCTCACCCTGACTAGTCCCTAAGGCTCTGACCCTCATTCAAAGGAAAGGCCATAGCCCGGCCAGTGTGGTTCAGTGGTTGAGTATCAACCTATGAACTAGGAGGTCACAGTTCGATTCCCAGTCAGGGTATATGCCAGGGTTGTGGGCTCAATCCCCAGTGTGGGGCATGCAGGAGGCAGCCAATCATTGATTCTCTGTCATCATTGATGTTTCTATCTCTCTCCCTCTCCCTTCCTCTCTGAAATCAATAAAAATGTATTTTTTTAAAAAAAGAAAAAAAGGACCGGCCCTAGAGAGGCTCAATCTATCAGCCCAACCCTTGGCCATGAACTTGGAGGTGAGTGAGCTGGGGCCAGAGGAGAAGCTGGGGTCCAGTGAGCCTCCAGTCTGCCCATGGATCACCCCACGCTACCCCCTTTAAACAGAGGCAATATGCTGGGTTCCCAACCGCTGCTGCCTCCTCCTGGCCCTGAGGCAAGGATTGGGTGGGAACCCTCCCTCAGTTGGAGGCTGGAGGGAAGGTGCCTTGGGACCAACTCAGGGACATTTTCATAATCTTTGCTAGATGAAGAGGCTAATTCCAGAGGCAAGATTCTGCAGGAGTGGGACGAAGGACAGGAGCAGAAAAGGAGACAAAGGTTTGGGCCATGCAGTAATGACATGACAACAGTGACAGCTGATATTACCCAGGGCCTGTGATTTATATGCCTCATCCAGTTTCATGTTTGCAACAGCCGACCGAGTAGACACTATGTGTCACATTCCCACTTTTCAGATGAGCAGACGACTGGACCTGCTCTGCCGAAGTAGCCCCTACACGTCCCAGACCAGGATCTGCACCTGAACAAGATGTCCAGGTGCTCCTGGGTGGCTGAGACCTTAGGGGCCTCATGGGTCATGATATCAACCGACTGATGACCTGCTACATAGTGGGGGTCATCACGGTGCCCCCTTCCATCCTGACCATTGGGCCTGGCTCAGGTCCCGGAGTCCTCTCAGGACCCCAGGGACCCATCTGTATGTGGTCCCCAGAGCTTGATACATGCTGGTCTAATCATTTTGTGGTGACTACTCCCACCAGACCTACTCTCAGACCAGGCCAGCCCCAAGAGGGAACCCCACAGTCCTGCCAGTCTGTGACTCCCTAGGCAGGGATGATTGGAGCCTCCTTATCACAATTCCTTCTGAGTCAGAATCAGGGACGATCATGGACCATGACCCCGCTGAAGGCAGCCAGAGGACCCTGTGGGCTGAGGCCTGGCTGCTGGGGTCAGAGGTTCCAGCCACATGGAAACGCATGCGGGGCTTTGCCCCGAGAAAGCACATTCACAGGCATCATCCTCGAGGAGGCTGAGCAGAGGCAATTGCTCCCCACTTTGGATGGGGAAACTGAGGCTCAGAGAGTGGAGCAGCCTGCTCAGGGCCATACAGCAGAGCAAGTCAGCAATGCCAGCCCTGCCCATCACCCGCTGCCCTTTCCCCAACTCCACTCCTACCTTCTCAGCAGGTTTCTGGGCCTGAGCTGATGTCTTATCTCTGTCTGTGGCCAGAGCTGCCTCCTGCGCTCCAGCAGGGCTGGGCATCCAAGAATGCTGGGGCCCGGCATTGCTGACCCGGCCTTTGCCCGGGGGAGCCTGGCCTGAGGCTCACTTCTCTCCCTGCCACCCCCACTCCCTTCTGTGGATTGCTGGGGAATCTGCTACCCGGTGCAGCACAGGGCGGTGGCCACTGCAGCCTGGCCCTGCCCCTCACGTGGCCCAAGCTGATCCTTCCCACACAACTTTCTAATCTGTGCAACGTGACAGTGCTTGGCGCCCTGTTGTCGGAAGAGAGTATTTTTAGTGTTGAACCCACCACCTGAAGAGAGACAACTTATCAATAGCAGCCTCAAAGGGCTTTTCTTTTTTTCCCCATGGCTTCGGGACCTGAGCAATCTGCGCCCATTAAATTCTGCCAACTTTTTAAAAAATGTATCTGTATTGATTTCAGAGAGGAAGGGAGAGGGAGAGAGAGATAGAAACACCAATAATGAGAGAGAGCCAGGCTGGCGTGGCTCAGCAGTTCAGCGTGGACATATGAGCCAGGAGGTCACAGTCAGGGCACATGCCTGGGTTGTGGGCTTGATCCCCAGTAGGGGGCATGCAGGAGGCAGCCGATCAATGATTCTCTCTCATCATTGATGTTTCTATCTTTCTCTCCCTCTCCCGTCCTCTCTGAAATTAATTTAAAAATTAAAAATTGGGAGACTTTTCTATGAAACGTTTTGTAGGATGCTGGAGTGGCCATCCACCCTGCTGGGGGGACATTTGAGCCAACTTGGCTGCCTGCCCTTTAGAATTAGTTAGAGCTACAGGCAGGTAAGTTACCAGGCATCATCAGGGACCCAGTCTCTATATTATTGTACCACCCTTCTAGTGTTGGGTCCCATTCTCATTGTCACCTCATGGCCCAATATGGCTGCTTGTGCTCCAGCCATCACGTGTGCATTTGACCAGGAAGAAGGAGACGGGGAAAGAACAAGGACTGGGCTGACCACTAGGTGAGTCAGCTCCCTGGTGTGTCTGTCCCTGAAGATACACCAAGCACTTCTGCTGACATCTCCCTGGCGAGACCTTCATCCCATGCTGTTATTGGTGCAACAGCAGCATTTTGCTGAGTGCGCTGCCAGCCTGAATAACACAGAGGACTCAGGGGAGAGGATCATGGGAGGCTACTTGTCAGAGGACCTGTGCGGACCCCTGAGCCTATGGCTAGGCCTGCCTTTGGCCTCCAGGTGTCCTCCAGCTTCGGCCAGGGCAGGCCAGGACACCTCTCAAGATGTGGGTTCACCACCACTGCCTGGGAAGTGGGGCGGTGCCAGGTGCAAGGCAGAACTCTCAGCTCTCAGGCCCTGACACCCTTGCCACAGAGACTGGGCCCTACTGCACTCCAGCAGCCTGTGGGGTGGAGCCTCCGCACGGTCCCGACCGCTGAAGCACTCGTGGCTGTGCCCTGAGCGCGGTTTCCTCTCGAAGTGCCTGCTGAGCACCTGCTGCCCTGCTGGCCCTGCCTGGGGCAGGTGTGCGCCCCGTGAGCAAACTCAGGCCCAGGGGCCACAGGGCAAGGAGGGGCTCTGCTCCTCTCTCTCCACCCTTCCCAGGGGTTCTGGTGGTTGTAGGCACATCCGAGCAGGGACCAGTGAGGCAGGAGGGAGCGGGAAGGTTTTAACTTTCCAGATGGGGCTAGGCCTGCTGCAGGGGTGGAGTGGGGTGAAGGGGGAGTTTAAACATACCTGGGGAGTGGGGGTGGGGAGAGCAGTGTGATCCACGACTCTCGGCCACTTACTGGCCACACACACTCATACAACAAGAAAACACAAGAAACAAGCTGTCCCTCCTGGCAGGCCAAGGCAGGGTGGGAGCTCAGCAGGTGGAGGGGCTGGGGGGTCAAGGGTGTGGCAGGGCTGGGGTACCCCGAAGCAGCCCCTCCTTTAGCCTTACTGGGGTTTTGCTTAGGAGGCCGGTGGGTCTGGGAAAGCTTTTTATTTTTTTATTTTTCAAAATATATTTTTATTGGTTTCAGAGAGGGAGATAGAAACATCAATGATGAGAGAGATCATTGATTGGCCGTCTCCTGCATGTCCCCCACTGGGGATCGAGCCCGCAACCCAGGCACGTGCCCTTGACCGGAGTCAAACCGGGGACACTTCAGTCCGCAGGCTGACGCACTAGCCACTGAGCCAAACCAGCCAGGGCTGGGAAAGCTTTGTAAACAAAGCCCATCACTTTCCCCAGGGCCGTGGGGAAAACTTAGGTGACCCCACTGTGACAGTGTGGAGGGCAGGGTGGGGACTGGTGGCAGCGCCCCCACCTCCATCCCTGGCAGGAGCACCCGGGCTCTGGAGGGTGGGGTAAGAGACAGCGGGCACTTGGGTCCTTCTGGGGATAGGCATGCTCCCCCTCCCATCATTCCATCCACGGGAGAGGAAGGCAGAGCAGGGGAGGGGGGGACAGCCACAATCGAGGGGACAGCCAGTCAGAGCAGTTGCCAGGCACACCCCAGATTTGCCCTCACAGTGGAGGGGCGAGAGGGGGCCCAGCAGGCTGGACTGTGGGCTAGGAGTGTCAGGGCACACGGGGCTGCAACCTGGGTGGTTCGGTGGGGCTCTGTGCTCAATTGACTGCTCTGCTGTCACCATTTGAAATTCTTAACTTAGGGCCCCCAGTTCTGTAGCCATCCTAAGTGAGGCGGGCTCAGTGCAGGACTCAGGGCCCATGGGTGCTGCTCTCCAGTTTCAGGGCTTCATAAGCTGCACACCGCCAGCTGGGGCTCTGACCCTCCAGGAGGGTAGCAGGCTGGCGAGCAGACCAGGTTGTTCTGGGGATAAGGCAAAGGGGCTGATGAGAGGCCTCATGCTAGGTAGTTTGCCAGCACTGCCCCAGCCCAGGAAGGCAGTCTACCAGGGAATCCCACAGCCCGGGCTCGGGGACCCTCAGGGCTGGATCCTCTCCAAGGTACCCCCTGAAGGCAAAGCTAGCCTGGCACCTCCAATCACTCACTAGCCTCAATAACAACATGACCTTCTGGGTTCCTAGTCAAGCTGCATATAGTAGGTGCTCAATAAATGCCTGCAGGAGGTGGGTGGGATGATCTGATCTGGGCAGAGGACCAAGGGTTGGATGGAGCCACCTCCTCCAGGTGAGTCCAGGCTCTGCCACTTGCTAAGTGAGGTCTCAAGGAGCCTGTTTCCCCAGGGCTTGGTGAGGCCATGGAAGTCAGGCCTGGAAAGCCCCTGGTAGAGGAAGCCCATATAGGATGGACTTGGGGGGCAGAGGACATGGAATTGGGCCCCCTGACAAACATCTGGTGCTCTGGCCAGCATCCACCCTGTCTTCTAGGAACAACCCCAAATTCTCCAGTGGGGACCCCCACCTCATCCAGGCTGACCTCACTTCTAGCTCCAGACAGGGGCACATGACTGGCACCTGGCACATCACTGCATCACTTTGGAATAATCAGTCATGCCATGGGCTTGGGCACAAGGTCCTGCATCTGATCTGGGGCTGAGAGCTGTGGAATGTCAGTCTGGAAGTGCCACCCTGAGGGGACAGCTGTGTGAGCGAGGAGCAGGCATGCACCAAGGGCTGAAAGACAGGCTTTGATGAGAGTTACTGGGTTCCTGGATCCAGCCATGCCTGAAGGAGATACACCATCAGTGTACTGTCAGATGTATGCCCCGTTGAACCGCGGTTTCTATGCCCTCTTCTCCACACGTGAGGAGCATAGCCACCTGTTTGGACAGGCCTCTGAACCCCTCCTCCTCCATCAGGACATCCCAGGCTGGGACCACCCTCCAGATGGCAACAGGTGAGTCACTCAAGGACAGACTTCAAGAAGCCCCGGATGTTTTCACCAGGTGGCTCTTAGCCACTGGCTTACCCAGTGCTGCACGTGCACAGATGGGAAACGGGCCTCGGGAGGAGAGGAGCCTCCCCGTGGGCCTCATTACTTGCCACAAGGGCGTTTCCAGCTCTGCCGGAAGCAGCTGAGCAAGTTTAGAAAATGTGAGAGGATGCCCTGACCGGTTTGGCTCAGTGGATAGAGCGTCGGCCTGCGGACTCAGGGGTCCCGGGTTCGGTTCCGGTCAGGGGCATGTGCCTTGGTTGCGGGCACGTCCCCAGTGGGGGGTGTGCAGGAGGCAGCTGATCGATGTTTCTCTCTCATCGATGTTTCTAACTCTCTATCCCTCTCCCTTCCTCTCTGTAAAAAATCAATAAAATATATATTTTTTAAAAAGGGAATTAATTAGCAGAGATATTTTAATATTGCTATTTGCCCTTTCTCTATAATAG